AAACGATATATAAACCACAAAAGTTTTAAAATAAATTGATATAATTCTCACTAAACACGTGTTATTATTGGTTGCTTGAAAAACTTTACTTTTCTTTTCACTTATAAAATTTTACATATATTTTTATATCTTTTACTCTCAGTACACGCACAGCGCGAAAGAACTTTATTAAGTTTAGCAATAAATTTGCAAACCAGTGAAAGTATTATTATTCTATTATTCATAAATTCTCAACTAGATATAATGCGATAAACTCGCTTTGCATAAAGCTTTTCACAATCGTCCTTGAATATTTATTAAACCAACCGAATCAGTTCACTATATTGTCTAGCTGCAAGGTAGTGTAATATAAGTTAAAAAATTATTATAAAAAATATGAAAAACAAGAAGAGATGGCAACGCTGTGACAAGCAGTGTGTGCATACAGTTGGTGTTGACGAAGGTTATTGTGAAATTGATTAAAATTAAAATTAAAAACTAATATTTTAATTAACTTCATAATAAAATTAATGATACAACAATCCTTTCATCGCCATATCATTCGTTGCTATATAGCTAACATTCGTTGCTATATAGCTAACATTCGTTGCTATATAGCTAACATTCGTTGCTATATAGCTAACATTCGTTGCTATATAGCTAACATTCGTTGCTATATAGCTAACATTCGTTGCTATATAGCTAACATTCGTTGCTATATAGCTAACATTCGTTGCTATATAGCTAACATTCGTTGCTATATAGCTACCATTCGTTGCTATATAGCTACTATTCGTTGCTATATAGCTACTATTCGTTGCTATATAGCTACCATTCGTTGCTATATAGCTACGATTCGTTGCTATATAGCTACTATTCGTTGCTATATAGCTACCATTCGTTGCTATATAGCTACCATTCGTTGCTATATACCATTCGTTATATAAATCCCATATAACCTTACATAAAATTTATTCTTAACGTCCGTTTTGTAGAAAGAAACTAAATTTTTAATATTAACTATTGTTTTCAATAGAGAGGTATTTCGAACAATGTTAAATCACAACAATAAAATTTTATTATTTTTATTAATTATTTGAATTTTTTGCTGACCACACAGCTGTTTCGAGTATTGCCAAATACTCATTGTCTTACTTACTTACTGCTGTCCTTCTCTCTTAGTGGAGAACAGCTCAGTAATACCCAACATCAGTCATCTCGGAATTATTTCTTATATTTAAATATTAGTAACTAATTTTTTGAGACTGTTAGTATCAAGTGTTATACTCGTATCCTGCCAAATTTGAAGATCAGAGTTAGTGTTCATTAGCCAACTAACCCAAAATCGTACTTGTACGATCGAACTTGGAGTTTTGATAATTTGCTGTGGAAATCATTGACAAATTCACTTATTTTGTTATATTAGAACAAAATCATAAACAAAATCATAAACTATTAGATATTAAAAGGTGTAACATAACCTTGCTGTTGTTGTTAGCACGATTATAGAGCGGAATTAAAGGAGGAACTCGGCATAGAGCTTACTCTGATCTCGAAGGCGGTTCCTTCTATGCAAAGCCTCGCCATTGCACATTCGGTTGAGTTAAACTCTGTGACTATTTCTAATCTAATAATCCTTTATAACTTTTTAATCAGTTAAAACAAAATTGACCCACTTATTATTATATTATTACTATTTATGATAGTTTTCATATCTACTGCTTTATATCAGAATTAATAAGAGCCCCCACGTTTTTCAGTTTTTCAGGCAAATATCAGAGTTGGATTTTTATGAAAAGACTGCTCCAACTGTTAAAAATTTTTGTGGCTTGTTGTGATTTCAATATACATACATTGAAATATTTCACATTACTTTTCTAGTGGTGCTAACCCATATTCCACTGGTTTATATACATATTCCTATTAGAACAACTTTTAGAAGCATTTGGTAATATTATTTCATCGAATTTTGTTTTTGAGTAACTAAAGTTAAAGTAAATATCATTGTCGTGACGTATGATTCTATGAATCCAAAGTTTCGCTAGCAAATTCTCAATAACTGTTTATGAAGGGTATTGAAGCTTCAGTAAAGGCAAAGCTAACTTCTTTACTTTTTATTTATTTTAGAATTTTAGAAGAGTATTGTTTTTTATTTTTGTCATTTTGTTGTGAAAACTAAAAAGCAATCTCCCTTTTACTTCAGCTACTCTT